GTTATAAGGCCGTTGCTCAGCAGTTATGTGACAGGGTGACTGCGATTCTTCCTGTTTTCGACAGCATCCGATTCAATGAGGACGAGGTGTACAAACAGCAAACTATCCAGACTCTGTGTGCGACTCATTTTTCTGTAGGTGTTCGTCTATGCTTGTATTCCAATAGACCGCTAGTTGAGGCTTGTAATGCGCGCCTGATTCACTTGTTTCTGGAACAACCAAGATGGAATTTAGAGGTGGAAGAGGAAATTACCCGCCTCGCATCTTGTATGTTGCAGTCCCACGACACTTCAAAATCGGATTTGTTACAGTTCTGCGAAGAAACACTGTATCCGTCGATCCAAGACCTACCGGCCTTGCGCCTATTATTCAGTCTAATAGCGGCTGCCGACGCCTGTTCGAATCAGACCTGTCTGCTTGACGAAATTCCTGTGGACACACATCAATCGATATTGACTCTGTTTACCTCCTGTCCCAACTGCACTCGTCTTGCGGAGCAAATTGGATATGCGCGTTTTATCCAGTTATTAAAATCACCCTTCTCACAGGAAACGAATGGTTGGCGACATCACGAGTTATCAGTCTATTTGATCACAGAACAGATGGCTGGGACAGTTGCCAAGATGCTGTCTCTTTTCCCCGCGACCATTGAATCTCGACTATCTCCCGGTGACCTTTATGCTATGTACAGTTTGAATACCCTTCAAAGTGAATCTTCTTTCCGGCAATTTCAAGACAAGTCTTCCACGCTTCGTCCTTTGTTGCAGAACATTTGTCTCCCAATGGATGTGGATTCGTTTGAGCGCTTACGAAATTGGGTGTATGAGTTCGTTTTCAACAAAATGAGTAACCAACTGACAGTTGAACAACGACGTTGGGTTCTGGCGGAAACAGCCGATTTTTTGAGAAGGTGCGTTTAATTGTATTTCTACTAGTATTTTTCAGTGGTATTTTCTTGATTTAAACTTTTCAACACATCGCTCCTCTGATCGCGTTTGTCCTATAAATCGCTTAATCCGAGGTCGAAATAACCAGCATCAAACTCCAGATGGCCAATCGTATGTAATTGGGCGCTCAGCTGAAATCGTTCAGATGTAGCACCTTTTCGGGACCTAAAAGCCATGCCACCCGAAGGAGGTACAAGGGCTGGGATACTGCCACGTTTCCCAAGCCTAGACAGGGGAAGTCGGGAGGCAGAGGTCGGTTTCGAACCACGAACCTTCCGCTCTAGCCCCTGAGCCATCTCGTCCCCTAATACAAATCATTATCGCTGCACAGAAGGCTGACAAGGCGGTTCTCATTCGATAATTCGCTCGTTTCTGAAGGAATTGGTGAGTTGCGAAGTAGTATTAAACCGCTCCTGTCTGAACATACCAGACACCATCTTACGCGAAATGTGGTAGTACTCGTATTTAGTTGTGATATATTTGTTAGCAACGTGTTTAGCCCAGAATATAAGTATGACATGGATGAGATATCCACCGTGAATCATTGAGCAGCGCACTTTATGGCTATCAAACTTCCCTTTCATGTGGCGATCAAGTCGTTCCGGTTCCGTTTCGGTTATTTAATAAAAAAATAATTGTTCAGCTGTAGCACCTTTATGTGCCTAGCTGCCATGCCACCCGAAGGTTGCACGAGGGCTGGGATACTGCCAGGTTGCCCAAACCTAGACAGCGGAAGTCGAGAGGCAGAGGTCGGGTTCGAACCACGGACCTTTTGGTCAGTAAATCCGCACTCTAACCACTTGAGCCATCTCGGTTATTTGCTTACCAACCAATCAGAACATCTGGACATCACTGGTTGCTACCCTGTCCGACTGTATCAAATTTTACTATATTGTATTATGTCATATCTTATGTTACATTACGTTACATAATGAAATAATACGTTGTATTCTAGTATTATCGAATCAGGTCAAATTGTGTTGCTAACCACCTATTGAATCTGTTTACCAGCGGAACCGAATTGCCGCCAGAAACCGAGGAACTGCGACAGAAAGTGCTAGAACAAATCCGATTGAGTCTCACTCAGTTCGACTCCGTCGTGCGTCATCTATCATTCGTTCCGTTTCCACGCAAATCTGCTCCTGAAAAGCAAACTGAACCTGATCGGCCTTCGCCCTCTGGGTTTTACGCTCAATTTCTCATCCTCACACCTGGACTGGAGTCACAAGCCATCGATCTTTTGGAACAACTAATTGAGACGGTCTCCTCCTCGGATCAATTTGAAACAGACGGGGGGAACATTGTGAACGACAAGATGGAGTGGTTCGCCAATTATCTCCCCTTGTGCCTCCATGTCCTACAGCTCTCCTCTTGTGTAAGCGATTATCAAAAGAGCATCGTAAACCAGGGATTTTTATGCACTCCGTTGAGTCTTTCGTTCCAACCAATGAGTGTAGTTCACGTCCGATTTGTGTCCAAGTAGAATATAAGCTTGACGACAGTTCAAGGATTATACCTACCTGTTGAGTCCAAAGAAGGCGAAAGTGATCGAAGAAATTTCAGAAGCCTTAGGAGTAACTTTTACCGCTTAGATTGTTAGTCTTTTTTTATGTTGTTTGATCTGGGACGGTTAAAATCTGTAGCATTAATATTTGTAATGTACTACTCATAAGGTTGCTGAAAATCCATCGACAGCCCACGACCAGTTTCGCCCTTCTTGGGGCTCATCAGGTAGGCGCAGTCCCCGGGTTTCCGTCAACCTTACGTTCTACTTGATGAGCCCCAAGAAGGGCGAAACTGGTCGTGGGCTGTCGATGGATTTTCAGCAACGAGTAGTGTAGTACATTACAAATATTAATGCTACAGATTTTAACCGTCCCAGATCAAACAACATAAAAAAAGACTAACAATCTAAGCAAGTTACTCCCTTATGAGTAGTACATTACAAATATTAATGCTACAGATTTTAACCGTCCCAGATCAAACAACATAAAAAAAGACTAACAATCTAAGCGGTAAAAGTTACTCCTAAGGCTTCTGAAATTTCTTCGATCACTTTCGCCTTCTTTGGACTCAACAGGTAGGTATAATCCTTGAACTGTCGTCAAGCTTATATTCTACTTGGACACAAATCGGACGTGAACTACACTCATTGGTTGGAACGAAAGACTCAACGGAGTGCATAAAAATCCCTGGTTTACGATGCTCTTTTGATAATCGCTTACACAAGAGGAGAGCTGTAGGACATGGAGGCACAAGGGGAGATAATTGGCGAACCACTCCATCTTGTCGTTCACAATGTTCCCCCCGTCTGTTTCAAATTGATCCGAGGAGGAGACCGTCTCAATTAGTTGTTCCAAAAGATCGATGGCTTGTGACTCCAGTCCAGGTGTGAGGATGAGAAATTGAGCGTAAAACCCAGAGGGCGAAGGCCGATCAGGTTCAGTTTGCTTTTCAGGAGCAGATTTGCGTGGAAACGGAACGAATGATAGATGACGCACGACGGAGTCGAACTGAGTGAGACTCAATCGGATTTGTTCTAGCACTTTCTGTCGCAGTTCCTCGGTTTCTGGCGGCAATTCGGTTCCGCTGGTAAACAGATTCAATAGGTGGTTAGCAACACAATTTGACCTGATTCGATAATACTAGAATACAACGTATTATTTCATTATGTAACGTAATGTAACATAAGATATGACATAATACAATATAGTAAAATTTGATACAGTCGGACAGGGTAGCAACCAGTGATGTCCAGATGTTCTGATTGGTTGGTAAGCAAATAACCGAGATGGCTCAAGTGGTTGCGGATTTACGCAACCAGTGATGTCCAGATGTTCTGATTGGTTGGTAAGCAAATAACCGAGATGGCTCAAGTGGTTAGAGTGCGGATTTACTGACCAAAAGGTCCGTGGTTCGAACCCGACCTCTGCCTCTCGACTTCCGCTGTCTAGGTTTGGGCAACCTGGCAGTATCCCAGCCCTCGTGCAACCTTCGGGTGGCATGGCAGCTAGGCACATAAAGGTGCTACAGCTGAACAATTATTTTTTTATTAAATAACCGAAACGGAACCGGAACGACTTGATCGCCACATGAAAGGGAAGTTTGATAGCCATAAAGTGCGCTGCTCAATGATTCACGGTGGATATCTCATCCATGTCATACTTATATTCTGGGCTAAACACGTTGCTAACAAATATATCACAACTAAATACGAGTACTACCACATTTCGCGTAAGATGGTGTCTGGTATGTTCAGACAGGAGCGGTTTAATACTACTTCGCAACTCACCAATTCCTTCAGAAACGAGCGAATTATCGAATGAGAACCGCCTTGTCAGCCTTCTGTGCAGCGATAATGATTTGTATTAGGGGACGAGATGGCTCAGGGGCTAGAGCGGAAGGTTCGTGGTTCGAAACCGACCTCTGCCTCCCGACTTCCCCTGTCTAGGCTTGGGAAACGTGGCAGTATCCCAGCCCTTGTACCTCCTTCGGGTGGCATGGCTTTTAGGTCCCGAAAAGGTGCTACATCTGAACGATTTCAGCTGAGCGCCCAATTACATACGATTGGCCATCTGGAGTTTGATGCTGGTTATTTCGACCTCGGATTAAGCGATTTATAGGACAAACGCGATCAGAGGAGCGATGTGTTGAAAAGTTTAAATCAAGAAAATACCACTGAAAAATACTAGTAGAAATACAATTAAACGCACCTTCTCAAAAAATCGGCTGTTTCCGCCAGAACCCAACGTCGTTGTTCAACTGTCAGTTGGTTACTCATTTTGTTGAAAACGAACTCATACACCCAATTTCGTAAGCGCTCAAACGAATCCACATCCATTGGGAGACAAATGTTCTGCAACAAAGGACGAAGCGTGGAAGACTTGTCTTGAAATTGCCGGAAAGAAGATTCACTTTGAAGGGTATTCAAACTGTACATAGCATAAAGGTCACCGGGAGATAGTCGAGATTCAATGGTCGCGGGGAAAAGAGACAGCATCTTGGCAACTGTCCCAGCCATCTGTTCTGTGATCAAATAGACTGATAACTCGTGATGTCGCCAACCATTCGTTTCCTGTGAGAAGGGTGATTTTAATAACTGGATAAAACGCGCATATCCAATTTGCTCCGCAAGACGAGTGCAGTTGGGACAGGAGGTAAACAGAGTCAATATCGATTGATGTGTGTCCACAGGAATTTCGTCAAGCAGACAGGTCTGATTCGAACAGGCGTCGGCAGCCGCTATTAGACTGAATAATAGGCGCAAGGCCGGTAGGTCTTGGATCGACGGATACAGTGTTTCTTCGCAGAACTGTAACAAATCCGATTTTGAAGTGTCGTGGGACTGCAACATACAAGATGCGAGGCGGGTAATTTCCTCTTCCACCTCTAAATTCCATCTTGGTTGTTCCAGAAACAAGTGAATCAGGCGCGCATTACAAGCCTCAACTAGCGGTCTATTGGAATACAAGCATAGACGAACACCTACAGAAAAATGAGTCGCACACAGAGTCTGGATAGTTTGCTGTTTGTACACCTCGTCCTCATTGAATCGGATGCTGTCGAAAACAGGAAGAATCGCAGTCACCCTGTCACATAACTGCTGAGCAACGGCCTTATAACCAAAAAAATTCACAACCGATTGAAAAGCTTTGGGTACAACACCAAGAACGGGTTTCGACAGGTTCTCCAACGCCATTTCGCCAGAAATGAAGCAGTCTGAGGCACGGTACGAGTCATCCGGCTGGGTCCAGGCACCAAAAGCATAAGCAAGAGTAACCAGTTGTGACTGGTCTGCAAACGATACTGGTTCCGGTCGAAATACATACTCGGGGATTTGCGTTTCCATTAATCTGACTGATGAAGCAAGTTGAAATAGAATATCATCCAGAACCGCCAGGTCTCCTCCAAGTTTCACAAACGTAGCTTCCACAACAGCGTAGGCCAAAGACAGACGAAAATCACCAGCTGACGTGGAAAGACTCGGGGTTTTCCGAGATGGATAGCGTACGGGATCGGAGCGACGGTCCGTGAATAGCCAGTGATGTAAGAACAATCTCCACCAGCTACGTTCTCGTACATCAATTGTTGGACCATGCTTTAGGCGTTGTCCATCGACTAATACAGTCATAAATACGTCACTTGTAGGCGAATTGACAGGAAGATACAGATAAGGAAGGCACGCTTCCAAATGACTTTCCAAACTTGAGCCCTTCCCATACATGGCCGAGTAGTGGCGAGGTGTTACATCACTGACACGCGTTTGCAATTCCCGGCACAACGACTGGAGTGGCTGTGGCAGCATCCCCAACTGTTCCTCTACGGCATTCTCAGTCAACAAACTCTCCAAACGGTACCAGCAAACTGCCAACAGGCGATAGAGATTGTCCAGGTAGTCAGTCGGTCCATGCGCCAGTGCGTACTGTGCAAGCCATAGGCGGAACACCTCCACGATGAGTGTGCTATCATCAAGAAGTATAGAATCTTTTGATTCTGTGGGCTTTGTTCGCGCGATTCGGAATAAGCCATGAAGTGCAGTCCATCCCGTCGAAGTAGTTACCGGTTCAAGTGGACACGGTTTGTTCTTTTCACTAAAATGACTCGCCCAAAGAGCACACATCGACCATGCCGATGGATGAGACATCCTAGTGGCTTGAATGACCAATTCCAAAATGTGATCGGTCACCTCAATGGGAAGCACGTGCGTAAAAGTAGTGGCCAGATATTTAAAAGCTGCCCGTACGAAACAGTCAGTTGTGGCGATCATATCTAGCAAAAATAGTCTACCGATGCGAAAAAGAGCATCTGTTCCAAGCAGTTCTAGAAACTTCCGTCGATTAGTGTGGCTGCGTCGAAGACTCTTGAGCATTGCTAGCAGAGCGATTGAGAAGAGCGTGGTGCGTTGGTGTTTCATTGATTCGGAATCAGTTGTCCACATGGGACGCAAGTGGAAAGGAGCCGTTGGAAGAGACTGCTGTGTGGACGGGAGGTGCTCAGTCACCGATGACAAGAAGGCCGAAACATCCAGAAGACATTGTTCCATTTCGAAGGCCTTTTTCACAGACCGATCAAGTGGCACGCGGGAATCAAGGGTGAGGAAAAGGCTGAGACAATGTCGAGCCATTCGCTCATTTGGCGGTAGGGACTCTAGTTTTTTCGTCCTCACTCCAGATTGAAGGGAAGCCCGTGGCACGCATGTGTCCACGTAGTTGCGCAACGCGTGCAACAAACATATTGACCAAACATGCAAACTCGACTTGCCCTCTACTTGGTCGTTGAGATATTCACTCTGCATACGCTCAGAAAGTTCGAATAACTGAATATTTCCGGCAGTGAGCAGTGAAAACTGCAGTCCCGTGGGGATCCATTGTTCCGCAGGACAACCACTCAATGCTTTGTGTAGAAGATCTCGAAGTTGCCCGATAAAAGACCTGAGGGTAGTAAAAATATAACGGTTAGTAGAGGTATATAATGAAACCTTGTTTGATTAAAAGTTAATTATTCGATATTTGGGTTATCCCAATATGTGCGAGACGGCCCAAGTGTAAGAGCGCGGAATTTACTGACCGGAAGGTCCGTGGTTCGAATCCCACCTTCGCCTCTCGACTTCCCCTGTCTAGGCTTGGGCAACCTGGCAGTATCCCAGCCCTCGTGTTTCCTTCGGGTGGGATGGCAGCTAGGCACCGGCACAGCTGAACGGTGCTTCACTGCCGTACGGCCGTGATAAACAGTTGGAATACAATCCCTGTTATGACAGGCCACAGAAAAGGAGGTGACGGGTCTGTTTGCAAAAACCTCCACGAGCTATCTGGAACATCAAATCATAGGAATTGGAGAGAAATAATAACGAGAATGTTAGTGACATCATATTGCTACCACTGGAGTTCCCGACGAGGATTCGAATCTCGTCGCCGTCGCCACACGTGTTGCCATTAATGTACACGCTGTAGTCGTGTGTCTGTTTGGACCAGCTTACTACGTCAGACACGGGATACAGACAGCGGATGTGTATCGGACGTGCAATCATGGATGAAGCAAGAATGCTTTAAAAATCGTTGAGTCAAAGCTGAAGGCAACGTGACGAAAAGATCCCGCTAACCAATCAAAACAAATATAGCACAAAACTCGTGATGAGGTTTCTGGGTCGCACTAGGCTACGCAGCCTAACAGTAAATCATGTTTGGACAAATGTAGTGAAAATTCAGCCGTTGGCGAAAGAAATGGGTATCCAGCGATTCTATTTTTGCGAAAAATTCTCATAAGAAAGAACAATTTCCCAGTTTTTATTGTTAAGGCCTGTTTGGTGGAAACATTCTGAGTGAGGACGCGCTAGACTAAGAAACAGCCCGTAAAAATAGTGCTTACTATGGACCGTTTTGGTCATCTAACACAAATGTTGTCCGGGTAGATCAAACGGGACGGCACAACTGACCATTAGGGCAAGACAACTGCAGACTGGCTTCATACCACAACAAACACTGAGTGAACAGAACACCAATTCGCACCACTCAGTATTGACAACCGGTGAGCTGAGCTGCGTTGTTGCAGAAAACCGGCAAGATTGAAATGAACTCTGACTTGACGTCGTTGCTTATAAGAACTGTGCAGATAACTGCATCTCCGCTGCTAGTCTGAACGTGGTGCTGTCGGGAACAATTAGCGGAGAGAAGGTGATGAAAGGTATTCAAGCCGTGAGGTGTACGTTCGAATAAATCCATTAGTTTAGCCTGTGGATGGGAAGGCAGCAAGGGGGGGTGATGGAACCGACCATTCTTTATCAGAGTTATAGGGTAGATGAGAATGCTTGGATATAATCAGTCATCATCATCGCCATAACATCCGTGCTCAACGCCGAGGCATCTCTGCCGTACAACCGTTATTTTTAGTTGAAAACCTTATTGTGAAGAAAAGAATAAACATGGATTGGAAAGTGACTTTGTGCTAACCTACCGCAATCATTCCGAGGTGCCTACAACTCCAGACACTGACTCAGATGATCTGGAGAGAAACTGATTACAAGAACGCCGCTGATATCGATTAGCGGCTATATCTGGCAGCGCCTCCAACCATGTACAAGGGTGATCAGGCGATTCTCGGAAGACGGGTCTCACCGAGAGCACTCATAGTTTCTTTCATACAGCTCTACCAGGTCAGAAATTGAGCACCGCTCTGTCGGTACCACCCTAGATCGGGGGCGGGAAACAGCATCCTCATCGGTAAACGATAATTCGGCATGCTCCGTACATGGCCTAACCAACGCAGCTTCTTGTGCTGGACAAATTCGCCGTCCCATTGCACAGCCGAAGAGTCGCTTTTTTAGTTGCTTCGTTGTGGATTCTCCAACAACAACAATCAATCACTCAGCTGTAGCACCCTTTCGATGCCTAACTGCCATGCCACACGAAGGAAGCACGAGGGCTGGGCTACTGTCAGGTTGCCCAAGCCTAGACAGGGGAAGTCGAGAGGCAGAGGTTGGATTCGAACCATGAACCTTCCGGTCAGTAAATTCGCGCTTTAACTACTTGAACCATCTTGCCCCATTCTCCAACAACAGGCTATACGAGCTATGGTTCTGTCAAAACGGTTGTCGAATATTTGAAGACGTTTGGTTATTGGCAAACCGACCCGAGCTTTAGAGATTCATGCACTGATCTCATCTGACATGCAGTCACTGAACAGGCCACTGCCTTACAAAGCGCAAGCTGAAGAACGGGATGATTTTGATCAGTTTATAAGCACCCTTTTCTCGACTTCGAAAAGGGAAACGATGTCGTCTGCGTATTCCAGATCGACAAGGTTTTCGTCAGCAGCAATTTGAACAACATCCAACATCGGCCTCATTAACTTGTCCAAAGCGAAATTAAATGGGAATGGAGAGAATGGGCAGCACTGACGGATATTATTTTGTGTACGGAAGCTTTCGGAGGGCACTCCGTATACTCTCACACGTCCGGAAGTCTGAGAGTACGAAGGACCTACTATATTCACAAACTTTTGGGGCATTCCTTGCTGGGCAGGTATACTAAGGATAACAGAATGGCCAACTGAGTCGAATGCACCTTAGAAATCCATGAATACTAAGATTGTAGGTCACTTATACATATGGCGTTCTCCTAGCGCCTGACGAAGTGCGAAGATTTGGTCAACGCAAACCCAACCAGGCCGGAATTCCGCTTGATGCTCTCGAGTCAATGCTTCACGGGTAACCGAAAGGCGAAGAGGCCCAGGTGACGCCAAAAGTATCGTCACGACTGGGGTCAAGCTGGTCCCTTGTGATCACCACGCTCAATACGAGCCTCTTTTTGAAGATGGGAACTGTTACCGATTCTCTCAGCTTGTCTGCGACGGCCTTCTTTCCTCAGACGTAGGGAAATATATCAGAGAAGCGCTGATTGAGGAATCCAGGTGGTTCCAATAGGCAAAACTCTACAAACATACCCTTTACAAGTCACAGAGGACACGGACTACCAAACTATGAACGACTCAAAGCCAAGATTGTTGCCAGTCATCAGTACATCCACCCACCCCCCATTGGCGCGATTGCTCAATGGTTAGAGCGCGAATTCACTGACCGAAAGGTCCGTGGTTCGAAACCGACCTCTGCCTCTCGACTTCCCCTGTTTAGGCTTGAGCAACCTGGCAGTATTCCACCCCTCGTGCTTCCTTCTGGTGGCATGGCAGTTGGCTCCACAGCTGAGCAACATCGCCCCTTGATGCCGTTCAGACTTTCCACGAAAAGTCAGTCATTGCCATCAATGAAGGCAAAGTGGTGGAGGAATAGGATGATGGAAACCTACACATATCAACACTAAGTATGCTAAACACCGAGATGACAGAACAACATGAAATTACAGAGTACAAGATTAGTTTCATGTTGTGGATAAATAAATAAACCGGTTGATAAAAAAATAATCATTCAGCTGTAACACCTTCTCGGTGCCTAGCTGCCATGTCACCAAAAGGGAGCACGAGGGCTGGGATACTGTCAGGTTACCCAAGCCTAGACAGGAGAAGTTGGAAGGCAGACTTGATGTTCCCCACCGGTTGGTGATGATTGTGGGATAATATAATTGTACCACGAGAATTTCGCGCACAAAAAACTCGATACAAAGCACACTTGCGTTTGACACTTACTCCACTTTCTTCAATAACTGTTCTTTCTCCGCCTCTTCACAGGGTCCCGGAGCTTTCGTCACGTTTTCGGGGTGTAGCAGACCAAGTATGGTTGACATCCAGTGGGCAAGGAAACGTTGTAAGCGAGAAGTATCGTAAGCACAGCGCGCAAAATCACCCACGGATGTAACACCCAGACGAACTGTGTGGCCCAATTGCTTTTCAATGGATGCAGAGAGACTGAGCAAGCTGGTCAGCGCGGACGCACACTTAGCAAAGATTTGCAGTGCGCACGTCAACTGCGCGGATTCGTTCTTATCTGCTGGCAAATTAGCCGAATTAGCCAAACACCGAAACAACAGACTAATCAAATGGTTCACATCCTTCAGGTAGATCTTGAAGGTATCAGCCGGTTGTTTATCGACTTGCATTGTGACAGCTGGTTCGTACTGCGAGACGGCTTCCAATATGCAGGTCAGCAGCTCCATATCTGGAATAGGGAAAAGGAACTTCTGTGTAAGGACAGTACGCCAAAAGCAGATTCGGACGAGTCATCGCTTGTAAGAGACACTGACCTGTCAGACCACAAGAATCGCGGTAATTGAGGACACGTCTTGCCGAATGTTGGAACGGTAAAGGAGGCAGTATTTCTTGAAACAACTGACGCAGGGTTCCAGCTTCAATCATTCCGGCAAGCTGAGCAAGTATGTCAAACGTATGGTAGCTTGCGAGCCGTACTAGGCTGTAGGTGGTCCATTTTCGAATATGTCTTCCGTCTCCGATTTGTTTTATATAAACCATTAGCTGACCCCAGCTAAGTAAAACTGGATGGACAATGTGAGATTTCTGCATCACCATTTTGGCCCGTTTTATTTGTAGCAGTAGGTCAATTCGATCTTCAATGCTCAATTTAGAGAAGTGAGAAAAACCAAAGCGAGCCAGTGCAATCTGCTTTGATGACGATTGAACTGAAAGACTAGCTCGGGTTGGGTTCGTTCGAGTGTCTTTCGATACTTCGTACACTATCTGTATTGGAAATAGGATAAAAACGAACCAGATGCATGAGCCATTAGATCAGTTTTCACGCAACGCTGTGCGCGAGAAACGTAAATAAAAAAGCCGGCGCCTTCACATGGCCCACTACAAGCGGATCTTTTTTCAATGCTAGTGAATTTTAGGAAATTTAAAAATTTTAAAGTTCCCAGAATTCGTGCTGATCCCTGTCTTTACCATTCCTCCGCCAGGAACGAATACACGGACGCGGAAGCTAACTGACTTTCAGTCTTTGTTTCATGGAAAACGCAGTTGACTTGCAGAACTAATAGTTATGCTCAGCAAAATTAGCATTCTGACAATGCAACCATGACCTCCGAGTAAAACAGAGCATCGTCAGTCAGATGCTGAGCAAAATAAATGAAACACTAATGGTTCAGTCGGACGTAGCTGTGCAAGATACTAAAGTACATAGCATTTAATGCATAATCGTGGGTATCTAGATGGAGTTTCGTAACTTAGAAGGGGAGAATTGTCATCTCCACCTGAAAATTTCATAAAGAGGGGTATGGCTTTACCACAACGTACTTACCTGACTGAGCTGTGTAAATTCGAAACGCAGTCTTCTCAGCGAAACCAAACAGTCATGCAGTTCCGATCCGTCTTGCGGTTCGATTGATCCATCGCAGGCAAATTGTAGGCAGATCGCTTCACCCAGCTCCAACAACGCAAGGGAATGACTTACTAATCCTGCACGAGTATCAATCTGACGGGCGCGTCTCATTAACCACGTAATTAGCTTCTGTGCGTATCTCTTACCACTATCCTGTGTTCGAAAGTCTACCGTCAACTCGGCAGCAGGGAAAGTGAGTTCAGAATACAGACGTTCCACAGCAGTCATTTCAAATTCTGTCCCTCGACTGGCATAGGGAGGCTCTGCCTCGACAGGAAATGAGGGAGGCGCCAACAGATGTGTTACATAAGATGCGGGATGAATCGTCTCACACAGACTGGAAGCGAGAGCTAGGCGATGAGAGCCCACAGTAAGTGGAAACTTATTCATCATTACACAAACAGCTGAGAACCGCTCAGAGTCTGCGTAAAATCGAGCGATATCTAGTAGAGCATGTTGGCGAAAGGCATGAAGATGTTCGACCAAACAATCCAATGGATAATGATAGTTTACTGTTGGATCCGTTAAAAAGGGTTCGTCCTCGTTAGCTTGTTCAGCCAAAAGTATGTCTGCAAGACATTCGACATGAAACAGACGTCGAAGTAGTTGAGTTCGCACTGCCTCTTGCATCTGCTCGGTGTGCTCAGTAGAAAGATCGGAGACGCGCTCCAAACCCAGTTTTAATAAGTGTCGCATAGAAGCGAAAAAATCTCCCGCAGATACTGAGACATTGGCATGGGTTGATGGGATAAAAGACAAACACTGTCGAAGTACCCACATGGGACGATGCCGTATCAAGGCAAGGGTGGAGTCAATTATAGTAGGTAAGCCGCATAGATCAGAGACTTGGCGACTCAGATCTAACCACTGTTGCTGGTAGACCAGTTCGACATCTTGCTGATGGCGTAACGCCAACTGAATGGCATCCTGGTAGCAGCCCTTCCGTATGAGATGATTGTACAGACCCGATGGAGTGGTGGAAGACAAGCGAATTGCGCGTAAAACACGTCGGTTCGCATCTGTTTTATCCCCGAAAATCACCGTCTTCCATAATGCATCCGATGGTGCTTTTTGATCAAGTAATATAATTTTCCCAGAACTGGCTTGGTCGACGTAGGCGAATGATGCATAACAGGACAGATTCAATTCGTGAACTTGTCGTTCATCCAGCATCAGTTTGTCGATTTGCATATCACCGAATTTCAGAATGCTTAGTTCTCCTCTTTCACGCAATACAACCAGTTGAGCCAAATCATCAGTGTTATCAACAGCCCCTGTGAGACCATCCGAGTCTTCTTTCTTAGAAGGTAGCGCCCACCAGGTCAAACGGAACGGCTGAGATGGATCCACAAAGGCATTCGATGAGGGAGACACGTCCGAAGGGCTGCAACCAAGAACTAAGAATAGTGGATCCAAGCGCGGCAGAGACCAAACAGAACATGTGCCAAAACAATGAAGTGCTGCAATGACAGTGGTTTGTCCGGATGAATTCATCTGCAAGAATGCCACCACGTCTGTGCCCGAAGGATATGGACGATGGACGTGACGGATCACTTCCGATATCCACTGAGTTAAAGCAGTTTTCCCACGATGTAGGTAGGACAGAAGGCCAGTAGCAGGCAAACATGAATCAGACTCAGAGCTCTGTATATGTGCTAAATAGGGTGGGGAGAGTGATACGTGGAAAGAATGTAACTCAAACGACTGATTTAGCTGAGTAACAGGCGCAGGATTCGAACGGAGGCCAGCCAAAACGAGAATGCTCGACTGTGAGTCATAGTCGGCAGCGGTCAAGGGAAACTTCGTCCGTTTGTTCGGACATAGCTGCTCCACACATAGTCTTGCCATCAGACGAGCAGGATAACGTTTTGCTTCCCAATCCAAGTGCCACAAATCGACATGTCCACTGAAGTGACAAGCAAGCAAGTGACAACTGTCCACGAAAGCTATGTGAATTAGTGGGAATAAGCAGGACTTGAAGTCAGTAACCGAAGATTGTGAGGAGCAGGGCGATGACAGAACTATGCTAGTTTGCCGAGTGCCATTTGGTTCGTTTGAAAGAGCCAACAAATCGATAACTTCGATGGAACCACACGAATAACCTACGGCAACCTGACGATATGAGCAGCCTTGTGCTGACTGCTCCGGTGAGAACGCCACGCAGCGCCATCGGGGCCAAGGATCGGTATAGCTAAGATTCCAACGAGTGGACTGTCGAAGTGGTGATCGATTAACTCTAGATGGGGGTTCAAGATCAGAAGGCTGGTTATCGGTGAATTCATCCAACAGTTCGGAAAGTAGAGTCTGTTCGTCTTTGAAGCAGGGTGAGATGCTATCTGAGAGGAGATGTTCAGTGTCCGTTATCAATTGAATAAGTTCCACGTATTCGGTGGTTACAAGGCACAGAGCTCGCCAAGGAGACCCGGTAGACGACAAATAACCCAGATGCCAAGGTGGACCACGATTACGTAAATGAGCGTAGCTTACGAGTGTAGATGATGGGGAGGCCCAGCCTTCTAATGTGATACGAATATGCTGCCAACTCGAGCATAAGAACTCATACAAGCCGATCGCATAGTAGGGAAGCAGGGATTTCCGATCCGACGTTGTGTGTGTTCGCCCCTTAAATTTATTGCGTACGACACGTGAAGATAGGGCGTAGCAACGAAGTAGGCAGGTAGCTACATCCACATCATCCCGAGGATCCTGATAGACTTGCGTAGTGACGTCCCAAAGAGCTAACTGGTCATTGATACATGGCAGATGTGATCCATTGGCACTGTCTGCAAATTTGGTCCAGTATGTCGTAGTTTCCCTTAAAACAACGGAAAAATGATAATGTCACATTGGTCAGGATACCGTATGGTTAGAGGCTTCATGTGCGTTCGGAACAGCTGAGGTCAATTCGATTAGCTAATTCACAATAAAGTCAACTCCGTAATCTGAATCTTGGGAAACTAACAGCAGGACTAGTGAACCGCTTAAGGTTTCATAACTTTTGTGGCTCAACAAGATTCGCGAAATGAGCCAAAGCAACCAGCTCGGTTAGATAATTCTTCCATTGTGCAGTTCACAAGCAATCCGAAGGAATAAGACTTAGAGTATTCCTAAACCTAGGCTGAGGGAACCAAAACCTCACGTGCCTACAGGCCAGTAGCTGGAGTTTTGATCGCTGGGATGCCTCGGGTCCTATGAGAACAGTTCTTAAAAATAATTCTAGCATCATGTACCACTAAACCACTGAAAGTGAAGACTGTTCGCAGAACAGCCTGCCAATTCAAGTGGTTGAACTGTGAACAGTTCTTTATCTCCAAAGGTCAAAGTAGAGTATATTTGAGAATGCACCACACAGCACGGCAGTGAAGCATCGGTGTTGAACACTGATGTCATGCTGTCGATGATGATGATGATGATGATGATGATGATGATGATGATGATGATGATGATGATGTTGATGATGATGATGATGATGATGATGATGATGATGATGATGATGATGATGATGATGATGATGATGATGATGCACCACATGATGTTCGGATGTGACGTTCGGTAATAAAAATGAATCTACAACCTTAAAGGGTCGTATAAAGGTCAAGGGAGTGTGTGGGCGAAGGAAAATCCATAGAAGTGCATGAAGCCATAGCAGGGTCGTAAAAAACTCAAGTCCTTAGCTGTGAGACCCCCTGAGCGCATTACTGTTATGCAGCTGAAAGGAGACGCGCGAGGTGAACTTTTAGGTTGCTTGAACACAAGGAGGAGTAATCCTGAGATCACGAACTACGTGGTCAGTCGCTCAGAGCTTCAGCAGAAATACTGATAGCCCTCAACCAAAGGCTAAGTTGCCGCGTTTTCTATTCTTACTGCCGTTCGCTCGCTTCTTTTTAGAGGATGGATCAAGTGTAGTGCATCCTTAACAAAAAAAATCACGGTAAGGCACCGTCCTTCTACATCCCGACTGCAGCTGACCTGATGTGACGACCAAATTTAACTAGGAGTTCGGAGCAGTCTCGGTAAGGTCGGTCGATAAGCTCAGAAGAATTACAATTAAAAATGGTGTCGACACATTTCAATAGATTACTGGTTAAAGTCGACCTTGATTTTAGGGTTGAAATTTCAATGTTTAAGCTATGTGGGGGAATCTGGAGGACGTACCATGACATGGCCACAGAAAAAAAGGAAAATGATTACAGTCAAACTAGGTTAATGTGGATTCTTGACACCCGCCCGGAAATTAAACTGATCCCGGTGGATGTTATGTTGTTATTTTCTAGCTGGAATGTTGATCTGGAGTTCGCCTTCTGTTGTGTGCTGACCTCGTGTCCCGCGAATTTTGCAAAGCACGTTCAGCCAATCCTATTGGTGGTGTACTGTTCTCATACAATGCTCAGCTGTTGCCTGTACAACATATAGGAAACCTCTTTCTGATAGTTTTCCTTAAGTGCATACTGTACTCTCTCCTCAAGAGTATAGGGCAGTTGGGCAACAGTACTTATTATTGGGGGTTGTTGTCCATGTTGAGGATGGAGACAACATCTCAAGCTGTGTGTTTCCTTTGGGATTTTCATGGAAGTCGAACACCGTGACGGTGCCAAAGCTCAAAGACTAAATTTGGTAATCCGCCGCTACCGGCACTATAGTCGACAGTGTCACACGATCGTTCCAGAGTAATATATTGACGCATAAGATACTGGCAAGCACGTGAAAATCCATAACTGGAAGCAGTATAATGGGGAGAAAACTTACGCCATTCAGATGCAGGAGCAGCTTCGGACAGACACAAGGGAGAGTCCTTGCGGCCAACAAGCTGAAAAAATAGCGGTGGTGATCAATAAAACAAGGCGAAACAAATCATATAGTTTAGAACTAACTTTGCCGGTAAACGATTCAGTATGACGTTCGGAGCTCAATGTAGCCATGCCGTCACATCACGGTAACTGTTTTCCTGACAGTGCTCTGCTAATTTGAAAAAAGAATTAAATATTACAAGCAGTTTGGTTATTGAAATCATATCCACACTAATCTAAACTCTAAAGTCTTCATTCTGTGGACACGATTACTACAGCTGTTCCACACGGATGGGAGAGTATTAGGCCCCGGTTCGGTCCCCATAACACGTGAATCCTGACCCTCTGACACACCAGATAAACTCATCGATTTCGAACGCTTAAACAGAAGTGTCTCCAAAACACCTGGTGTTGTATATTTGCTCCGTTTTTCAAACGTTTTATCATTTATTGCTAAATCACTTTCTTCCGTTTTCAGCTCTCAGTGTCAAAGTTTTGGATGAATAAAGCCTAGCTTTCGGGCCCTCCGTCTTTTCCATTGCCATTCTGATTGTCGTTGCACTCTGACCCTCGTCGTACACAACACCTGGTCGTGTGTACCAGGCTACAGTAAGGACAGCGTTGTTGTATGGGTGCGAGACATGGCCTCTGCGGGTAGAGGATGTGGGGCGTCTTCAGGTTTTCGACCTCCGATGGCTCAGAAGCTTGGCTGGCTTTGGATGGCATCAGCGTGTCAGTAACGAGGCAATTAGAAAACGGGTATTTGGTTGTGTTGCAGGCACCTCAATCCGAGAAAACATCCAGCATCATCGACTGCGATGGCTCGTTCATGTTCTACGCATGCCGAAACACCATCCACCGAGACGAGTGTTGTTCTCCGTGCCTCCTTCAGGATGGCGCAAACCGCGAGGTGGACAGCACATGACTTGGCAGAAAGGCGTCAAAGAGACCACGAAGAGTTTGGGCGTTGTTGGTGTTGTACGCCTCCCAGGATGGGGTCCTCGTGACCCCGTCTGTGCTTGGCTGGAGATGTTGCAAGAAATGGCGGCTGATCGATGTCAGTGGCGTTCTTGCTGTCAGTTTCTTTCCAGATTGTCTGATTGAGCGGTTGGAGGTGTAGGCACCTCAGCATGCTTGACATAGTCCAGCACTAGGTCCCCTCCCTCACCCACTCTTTTTCTCTTCTCTTCACTGTAGGGCTTTTAATATAATTATATATATATATATATATATATATATATATATATATATCGAGAATCCATTTGTTTGTGTGGGTGCGA